TTTTTTTTTTTTTTTTTTTTTTTTTTTTTTTGAGATAAAATTAACATAACATAAAATTCACCATTTTAACCATTATACAGTTTACACTTCAGGGGGTTCTAGTATACTAGTATATTCACAATGTTGTGCAATTGTCACCACTATCTTATTCCAGAAGATTTCCATCACTTGAAAAAGAAACCCCATACCTATTCAGCAGTCACTCCCATTCCCTCTCCCTGCAGCCCTTGGCAACCATTAATCTACTTTCTGTCTCTATAAAGTTTCCTATTTTGAACATTTCATATAAATGGAATCATACAATATGTGACCTTTTGTGCCTAACTTCTTTACCTAGTATAACGTTTTAAAGGTTTATCTATGTTGTAGTATATGTATCAGTACTTTATTCCTTTTTATGGCTGAATAATATTGTTCATTCTTGAATATACAACAGACATCTATTTCTGAATCCCACCAGCACAGCAAAAAGCAAGAGCTATGGTGTGGGAGCTCCCTGAGAAAAGCTGGAACAGAGGTGACAATGTCTTCTTGATACTACTCACAGTTTTTTAATTCTGATGTTCCTAGATCAAGCTCTTTGGTTGTAAATTCACAGCAAACTGAGTGAATGACTAGGGAATATGAAAATCTCACTTTTAAACATCAGGAGCCAAACTAAGCAGCATGTTGCACAAAAAAACCTTTATTAACAAAGCCAGGGAAACACTGGCCCAAGCTCATAAGGGAGGCTGGCAGGAGCAGACAGGAAAAGAAAGAAATCTTTCTGCATGAGAATGTTCCTGTTTGAGATCCTGTTAAAATTACAACGTGGCTTCAGAGTTACAGGAAGCTAAAAAGAAATGCTGCTTATCCCCAGGATCGATCAATTCAGCAATAATTAAAATCCTTGTGTGACAGAGTAGGTTTATCCTGTTCACCAGTTCTCATGGGAAAGGCCAATCTGCCCACCCCATGAATCCATTAAGCAAACTAAGGGTGTAGCCTGTATCCGTGAGATAAGTTCTATGTGCTTTCCAAAGGCCAACATTTGGGTGTTTAACATGGTTTCTTACTAAGTCAACAGGAAGATGATAAAGGCAGCAAAAGTCTGTGAGGGTATAGCAACGTTCTGATCAAGTACGACACCTGCTGGCTGATCAAGGAGAGAGCGAAGTATCTTCAGTCTCCAAATAGTCAATGATTTCACATCACAAAATGCAAAATAATGAAACACCATTCCTCAAATCAAATGATTTTTCCCCCCTAATCATAACACTGTGCTGGGAAGGATTCTGGGGAAGGAAACTGGTACCACATTTCTGCAGTGCAATTAGGTTTTGCTATCAAAAACCACTAGAATTTCTGGGCCAGTCTGTGGCTCACTAGGGAGAGTGTAGTGCTGATAACACCAAGGCCATGGGTTTGGATCCTATATAGGGATGGCCGATTGGCTCACTGGCTGAGTGTGATGCGACAACACCAAGCCAAGGGTTGAGATCCTCTTACCGGTCATCTTTAAAACAAACAAACAAAAAAAACCCACTAGAATTTCATATTCACTTTAAGTCACTAATTCCACTGCTAAGTTTATCTAAATAAAGTTATCACAGATGTGTGTCAAGATTTAGCTATGAATATGTCTGTCATGAACTTTCTTATTATAGCAAGAAACAGGAAACAATGTAAACATTCAAAAATAGAGTAATAGTTAATAAACCAGGATATATCCATATATTTAAATATATTCTGCCATATACTAACAGAGAATGAGATACATCATTTATTGTTTGCAAGAAAAGAACACTTTATATAAATATTTTGGTTTAAAAGGGAAAAAAAAGTTCCTCAAAAAATATATTCCAAGCTATGAACAAGGCAATCTCTGAGGGAGCACAAATATGCAGAACTTTCATTTTCTATCTCATTCTTTCTGTGTTGAAAACAAAATAAACCAATTAATTTTTTTTTATTTGGAGAAATATTCACAGAGCCAGCCAGCCAGCCAGCTAGCTAGCCAGAAATCACAGGAATTGACTACAATATTTTAGATACCAAAGAGAAAGCTAGAACCTTCTGTTGTGTCCTATACCCACAGAGCATTGGAAAGCCTAAGCCCTCAAAAACCACTGCTCCTCCACCCCATTCTTCTTTCTGGTGAGCCCACTGGCCGGTTACCCACAGAAGCTATTTCAAATCTCCACGCTCTTTTCAAGTTCCCTTACCCACTCCTGCCCCTTCTCTCTCAGAAGAGGATTCCCTGTTCTATGTGTCACAGGGAGAAAAAGAAACTAGGCCAACAGGTGGGAACACCATCATCTTCACATATCTCCTCCTGCTCTCTTGTTCTTCAGTGGCTGCTGGTATGGGGATGCGAACCCTCGACCTTGGTGTTATGATACCACGCTCTCAACAACTGAGCTGACCAGCCGGCCCCCTTCTTTCAAATACATCCACATTTGCACACAGCACTAGAAAAGTGATGGAGAGAAGATGCTCTTGCTTTGTTTTTCCTACATCATGCCACTGTCGCAAGGTCAGGAAGAAATGGACAGGAAGAACCCCTTAGGATCAACTAGGAGCTCAACCACTACATTATTTCAAGTGAATCAGAAAAGTGATGGAAAAGAAGCCAGACTGGAAGGGATTATGGGATAAAGAGGAGGAGATACCATGTCAAATTCTTTACGAAAAAGATGGGGGAATTACAAATAAATACATGTACTTATTTCAAGTGGAGACAGCAGACACAGATGACTTTTTTTAATTGCAATGTAACTGACATACAGTAAACTGCATGTATTTAAAATGTACAAGTTTTGACCTATGTTTAAGCCCATGAAACTATCACCATATTCAAGATAAGAATACATCACCCCAAAAAGTTTCCTCCTGCCTCTGTGTCATTTTTCCCTCTCAGCACTCCTTACTTCAGGAGGTACACTAAGGCAAAAGCTCAAGTTTGTCTGACTCCACACAGCTATTGAATTCATCCTTTCCCTTTCACCTTCACTGCGACCAACTGGGTTCAGACCCCTCTTCTCTCTCCCCAGAATATGGCAATAGCCCTGGTGTCCAGTTTCATTCATCTTCTTCCACCTACAATTCCTAATCCAACCTCTCTACATATCTCCCCATGTTTAGATTAAGGTCAAGTCAAAGAGCCTTAAATTGATCTACAGGGCCCTTTAGGATCCAGATCCTCCTACCCATCAAGCCTCATTTCTTACCGTCTCTCACAAAATGAAAGTACATGCCAGCTATCAAATGTGCTATGCTCCCTGATTCTTTTCCTATGTCTTTTCATAAACTGCTTTCTTGGTTTGGAACAAGTAACTCTAGACCCTTCTTAGCCCCAGGAAATGCCCACTCATCCTTCTAGAATCTAGGCCAGTGGTTTTCAACCAGGGGAAATTCTGCCTCTCAGGAGATATCTGACAATGTCTGGAGACATTTTTTGTTATCACAATTGAGCAAGGAGGGGGCTGCTACTGTCATAAAGTGGGTAGACACCACTGACGCTGCTGAACATCCTGAAATGCACATGATGGTTCCCACAACAAAGAACTTTCCAGCCCAGAAAGTCAATAGTGCAGAGGTTGAAAAGCCCTGATCTAAATTAAAACTCGAGCATCCCCTTCTCTGTGACAGCTTTCTCTGCCTGCCTTCCACATCAAGTCCCACGCTTGTTGCCAGGCATACCTAATACCCAAAGTATACTTCTACGTCAGCATTTATCTCACTGATTTACTTTTCTGTCTGCCCCATTAAATTATAATTGCTTCAAAAGCAGAGACCATCTTTTCTTATCTGAAGATCTCTGGTATATAACAAAAAGCTCGTTCACTGTTTCGTAATTACATTTTAAGTAACATACTTATATTTAATAATAAATGAACAAAAGAGAGAAGATAGCACTTATTTTCTTTGCTCTACCACAAAAATCCTTTAAACATTACACAAATAATATATGCTTGACATAAATATTAGGAAATACAGATAAGCAAGAAGAAAAACACAAATAGAAAAGTAATTTTTTTAAAGAGGCAGAGGCACAAAAACCCCACAAAGTAAATTTGAGAACTCTGAAAAGTAGTGGTAGAATTTTTACAATTCAAATCCTGTCTGTACTCTCTACTTACTTGAGAACAGCAATCTCTTGAACTGTTATAGCCCTTTTATCTTTGGTTCCCATGTAGGAGAATATATTTGGCTTGACTCTGGTGAAACAGAAATAAAACCATCTGAAGTCACATACCATTGGAAATCATATTTCTCATAATTTAAGTTTCAAAATAAATTTACTTAAAATCATAACAGAATAAGAAAAAAAAGGAGAAACTTTATTTAAAAATAAGTCCAGGAAAACATAAATTAATATTCAAGCTGAAAAGTAAATGACGCCCAAACAATTCTCTTCTTAGCAGTGCTTGACTTAGAACATTTGTGGCTTTAGTGAATAACTGATGTTGTTCAAAGACTTGGCTAGCCAGTAATAAGAAGAAAACAATGCTCTTCCTGTTGGATTACATACAATTCATTAGATTACATAAAACTGTGAAAGAAAAACCCATTCTAGAGATATAATGCACCACTTTGAAATTTTTTTATCTTCAATTTTTAAAACGTTAGTAATAGTGTGAATTTTCGCTAAACGCATGCTATTGCTCTGTATCAAAAAAAAGCCAAACGGTGAAACAGGAATCTGAATAATTTTGACATGAAGGTGTAAGTAAGCTAGTTAACTAAGAAGTATTTTATGAACTTAAAGGAAAAAACTCACGAAGTATTTTATAAACTTAAAGGAAAAGGGAAAAAACAGGGATTTCTTCAACCCTGAGCAATTCTCAACTCCAGAACTCAGAGGAATTCCCTCCCCAGTTGTCTATTCCCCTGTCAGGAATGGTCTATTCTCCAGGGAGCAGGTATAGACACGGTACCACAGACTCTCCCAGGGAGCTCTTAAATAGAGTAAAATAAATTGTTACTTAATTGCATACTGTGTGTTACGGGCTGAACTGTGTGTCTCAGCCAAAATTCATGTGTTGAAGCTCTGAACCCCTAGTACCTCAGAATGTGACTGTATTTTGAGATATAGCCTTCAAAGAGGCAATTAAGTTAAAATGAGGCCATTAGGGTGAACTTTAATTCAATCTGACTGGTATCCTCATGAGAGGAAATTTGAACACACACAGACACACCAGGTGTGCACCGAGGAAAGGCCATCTGCAAGCCAAGGAGAGAGTCTTGGAAGAAAAACCAAACCTGCCAACACTTTGATCTTGGGACTGCTAGCCGCCAGAAATCTGAGAAAATTAATTTCTGGTGTTTCAGCCACCCCATCCCTGGGATTTTGTTATGGCAGTCCTAGAAAACTGATATACTGGGTTACCATATTTCAGCTGATTTAGAAAGCAAATTTCCGTAGCATTCAGATTAACTGTGGTGCCTGTTGCTGTTTCCATTTTTAAAAAGCTTAGGCACCCTACCTACCCTCAGAGACCTAATCTCTGCTATAGTTGCATTCTTCTGAGAAAATCTGATTGGTTTCAGGAGCTCTGAGTCAGTCTTCAGGAATTGAGAGGACCCAGTTTGGTAAAGCCAACTTCTGCAACCACATCAAAGTATGGACTTTCAGGGGAGAAAGTCAATTTTTACTTTAAGCTGGATGGACTGGTAACTCTCAACTGTATGTGAACTATTTACTTAAAGAATTTCCATCTTGAATTATTGGCAATATGCATGGGGTAAAAAAAAAAAAGTAATTCACTTATTGCCTAAGAAAACTATCATTGGGAGGCATGTGTGCTAACCATGGTTTATGTTCCTGCTCCTTTTTCTATTAGCATGGAAAGAGGAAAATACATTCCTGTTGTTTTAACTTTGTATAGGCACAAGAACAAGATACTAACCTTAAATATTTGGATAGTACATTAATAGCATCCATGGTGTCTTTGTTTTCCTTGTATAGAACGAAGTGGCAGTAACTTCCCCTAGATCTTGGCCAAGAATGTTTTCTTGGATCTTAAAAACAAAAAATTAAATGTTATATAGACCATAATAAAAGTTATTTGAGTTTTTTCTTATAAAACCCTACAGAGATCATTCTGAACCTTTGAGTGGGAAATCAGACCTGGTCGGACAGGAAAAATAGGTATGTGGTTACAGCTCTGTTAACTACAGGTACCAAACATCCTAAAATTGGACACTTAACATTATCTGTATTTAAAATCAAAATGCTGAAATACAAGTGGTGTGACAATGATTAAGGCTAGCCAGTGATCTTCACGCAGGAGATATGTGGAGGAGGCCCACCGTGACTTTATCAGCATGTATCTGCCAGGACATCGACTGGCTCTCTAGAGCACATGCAGTCCAGAGGGAAACAGCAGTTACTGGGAATCAACAAGTCTTGCCTTACATCCAGACGGGGTGCACACAAAGCAGGCTCGATGCCTTACACTGGGGTGGAGGTGGATAAAGCTTGTGAGGAGCTGCCTCAGTGACACGATGAGACTTTCCAAGGGCCACTTACATCACGGAAGTTTGCCTAATGTCTGCAAATGTCTATTTGACAGAGACAGCAGCTGGCACTCAAGACCTTATTGTCATTTCCAGGAAAAAAGAAACTTTAAAAATTAAACCAGGTTAAATACTAATTTCTGAGCTAGTGTTACTTTGATTATTCAACTTTTTGGAGACTGACAAACACTGCATGACTTTGGAGAACCTGGTTTTTCAGACTGTTCTTTTAATCAAATGTTCTAATACTGTAATCTAGAAAAATATACTTGAACAATATAAGATTTACACTGAAGCTGCTCAAAGAGTCTTTCAAAAAATCAATACTTTGGGAAAAATATGTAAGCCACAACCACATTTCGCAGAAATTGTATGTTCATGAGTCTTGTGTGACACAGAGCTGCAGTTGTTATGTAAACAACACACCTAGTTCATTTGATTTCTGTAACTCCATGAAAGAAAAATATTTCATACAATCCCTAGAGTCCTCTTTTAAAAATGTTCCTTATCTTTGTCCCTAAAATAATCCTTTTGAATGAACTCATGAATCCTTTATCTTCAGAGGCTTAAAATATTCCTGGTACTGAAGTTACTTGGATACCTGGCTTTATCAAGGCAAAAGCACTGCTTGATAGGTTAATGATGTCAGCTACGATGTAAAGAAGAATCAATAAACCATCTCAGAAAATTGCCATAGCACGTATGCCTAGTAAATTACTTTTCCTTCTAAATATGTATTTCTTTAGCTCCTGGTATGGTGTGAACTCCTCACAATTTCCTCAGAAAATTGTGAGTAGGAACATCATTTTTGGTTTTCCTTCCCACTCGTTACCAGTTAAGCAAAGTTGTCTATTCTGAGCACTTGTGACAAAATCATTGGCATTTCATTTTACCTACATGAAACACCAACCGCTCTTACCTGCTGCAGTTCTGACCTCTGTCCGAATGCACAGCATAAAGATCACAAGAGAGGAATGTTTAATTTCTAATCATATTAAAGTGCTTTAGAGGTGAACATGCAAATGATCGCATGGTAAGTTTATACCCAGAACTGCTATAGTACCTGGTAGTTATGTGGTGGGTTAACAGACATGTAGACAGTGATGATGGGATGTTGTGAAGGCAAACAGGGAACAAGCAGAAAACTCACCTACAGGTACAGCCTCCCTGTCTCAATCCCTTCGCAATGGGCATGTCAGTTTATCTTCAAAGCTGCACTATCTGTACCCATGGCATGTAGCAAAAAGTTTTAAGAATGGATATCAAATGCTTACCCATCCAGATATTTATTTTCTTAAATATGGGAGAAGCATTTGTGATTATCTTTTGGTGGTGAGACTGCAGGTAATTACTGTTTTGCTTTGTGCTTTCTGTTTTATGAGTTTCCTGCTTTGAATTATAAAGATTTTTTATTTGTAAAATGTTGAATGATTATTACAAAAAACAGTTCTCAAAGTTCTCTAACTTACAGACTAAAAGAGATTTAAGAGATGATTTAAGTGACGTCCATTGAGTGCAATGTTCTGACCATTATTTGAAGAAGCCACCTGTATGTAAGAGACATTTTTGAGATAATCAGGGAAAAACTGAACATGCAATGGGTATCAGAAATTAAGAAATTATTGTTTATTTTACTAGATGTGGTAATGATTTAAGGTTTTAGTCCTTATCTAGCAAATATATACTGAACTATTTATGAGTGAAATGATGTGCTCCATACAATTTGCTTTAAAACGTTCCAACAAGAAAAAAAAAAGGGAAGGATAGATCTAACAACAGAATGTTATAATCTTGAAGATGGTTGATGGGCACAGAGGGGTTCCATATTCTATTTCCTCTTTCTGTGTGCACGTTTGAAAATGTCTGTAATAAAAAGTTTGAAAAAACACTTGTGGTAAAAATTGATAAAGTGTAGCTACATTTTTTCCTTAACTACCCCTTCAGTGCATTCACAATTAAGAATAATGGCAAGAAATAAATGAAGCCACAAGACTTAAAAACTAAATGCTATTATACCTTAAGAGAAACCATGACAACTGAGTTTTGGCTCACAAGCATGCTTCTATTAGCAAATTTGAGCATTGAGCATGCATATAATTATCTCCTCTGCAAATAACAGACACAAGTATTCTTTTTCTAACTGCACTCAATATACAAAATACTAAGCATATGCATTGATTAACTGGGCATATTTTGAATAAGGGAAAATCAATAAGTCTCAACTTATTTTGGGCAATTTGTTTGATTCAACCAGTGAGAATGCCAAGTAGAATATACTTAGCTTTACAACTTAAGTGAATTTTAAAAAACTTTCAGACATTTTCGAGACATTCTGATTTATAATGCAAATGCAAAGAATTCTCAGGCTGAGTAACATGCTGCCTATTTGCAGAAGGTTGCTTCTACCTTCGGAAGGTCTGATGTGGCAGCCCCAGTCTATTTGAAATAGAAACCAGATAAAAGGGGAAACCAAGTTCAGGATGATTCATGTGTTCAGCACAGAGATCCCCATGAATAAGGAAGATGTTTGTAGCTTGAGAAAGATGACAGGATGGGGTAGCATGCAGAACATTCTTTCCTTCTTATTCAAGGCCATTCCCATTGCTGCACCCCTGCACACCAACCTTTAAGCTTCCTCAGGGATTGTGCTCCATCCATTATCTTTATTTTATAACTTTCCTCTCTGAATTTTCACCCTCCCTCTCCTCTGGCTCTTTCCCTTCAGCATATAAATATGCTCATGGCTCTTCCATCTTAAAAGCCAAGCTTACGCCCCTTTCTCCTTAACTATGATCTCCTCCTTTATCCTTTTCTATACAACTTATCTGAAAAAGCAGTCTGTATGTTCTACCTTCCATGTCAACCTACCATGTAATCTGGTTTCCAACCTCATCATTCTACTAAAACTGCTCTGGCAGAAACACACTAATGATTTCCATTTTGCTAAATTTGATGAACAAGTTTTGGAGTTGTTACATTGCTAAACCTATCTATAGCATTTTCCACTGCTGGCCACCCCGATGATTGGAATTCTCTATTCCTTTGGATTCTGTAACACCAGTCTCTCCCAGAGAGCTCCTTTGTACCTGCCTGGCTCTTCCTCCTGATCTCTATAAATCCCTAGATCCAGGTATCCCTCCTGGGAACCATTCATTTCAGAAAGTATAGAGAACCTGTACATACCACATGGCAGAATTTTTTTTTTTTTTTTTTTACTTATGGCTTTAAAAACAAGTTTTTAGAAGCATTTGGAATGTATACTATCTCAAAATATAATTTACCTGCTTATATAATGTTATAATAGTTGTATGGTATTTTCAGAAAAATACCACATATATGCTTTGGTAGGTAAAGCAATGTGCCCCATCAGACTGCCTTAACACAAAATAATATCTGAGTATCAACTGCTAGTAATTTGTGGTGTTTGGGCACCATGATTTAGAATCTACACATCCTATGTTTTAAGATGTAAGGCTCCATTTGAGAAAAAGTTAGGTTAAGAATACAGCAAATTTGCTAGATAATGTATAACTCACCAATAACAATTTATATCAAGGTTTGGTAGTAAAGGAACTTAAAAACGTTACAAATTGCACAGCTTTGCAATGAAGCTTTAAGGCAAGGTGGCCCAGGAGGACAAACTGTCATTGATGTTGGGATTTATCTGCAGGGCCAGCTCTCCCTCCTTTCCTAGTGGTGTTTACTTTGGGGCACTCTCAGCTTGCGGACGGGAGAGCTGGATCTGTAAAACATGAATGCAGGCACCTAAGTGACTGTCTGGGTCAGGGAACAGCCTTCTGTGAGCAAGTGGGAGAGAACAGCTGAGAGGGCAGAGATTTACTCCATCTTTGACTCAATGTCATAACACCTCAAGCCCAAAGAGGACTGGATCTCTACGTAAGGGTTGATCCAATCTGACCTGCCATCATGCTTCTTTTTAAAGTGAGAAATTCATTTTTTGGACTTCTCAGCCTCAGAAACTGTAAGCAATAAATTTTGTTTCTTTATAAATTACCCAGTTCCAGGTATTTTGTCATAACCAACAGAAAAGGACTAATATAGTGGATGTGGCATACCTAAACAGAGAAAGTGTGGATAAGGACAGAACCTGAGAGATCTGGCACCAGTCACTTAAGGAAGGGAAAGTGTGGAAAAACTGTAATGGCCACCTAGGCCTGTAAATGTCCTGCCTCCCCTCACAAAACCTAGCATCACCAAAGAAATGATGGTCATTTCCAAAAAGCAATCAGTCAAAAAAATACAATTTTAGCCTTTTCCATTCTGCTTCCTTATGAACAGATGGAGCAGAATGAGACCTTGTCTTCTTGCCTTTGCAGAGGGCAGCTGGCCACACGCTGTGGACCAACTTGGGCTGCCTCTCTGGAGGGAACGTCTCCCCAGCAGCTTTCTACAGAGAATTGCGACCAAATGCCCTAAGGCACCGTTGTATATAGTGAGCCGCCTTCTCTCCCTCACTTCTAGGATAGTTATGAGCTACATGCCACCCTTGGGAGAACTGAAAAAACGATCACTCAAATCACTTTCCACTAGGCTTACTTCGCTTGAGCAACCTTGGCTGCAGAAAGGCTGCCAAGGTAGTATTTTACTCTGTGACCCAGACATTAAAGAAATACATAGTAACGACGCCATTAGTTTGTGGATTGAAAAGTGATGAATAATTCATGCCGTAAGCAGTTCATTTCTCCTTTCGGTATCCATTGAGAAATGGCCTCCAACCTGCACCATCTCCTCCCCAACCACTCAGTTTCTCATTTCTATATCACTATCCAGACTTGCTGATTTGACTAGATTATTTTCTCAGGCATAGCTAAACCTGATTTCTGCTCCCTTTTTTCTTATATCCTCTCATTTTACTAGAATCATGGTTATAAACAGTTAAGGCTTCATCTCTTCACAGTATTATCTTTTAAATTAACCTAAGAGAATACTGACAAAGTCCTAATGGTTTGAACAGTCTTGCGACACAGCTCTAACAAATATATCTAGAAATAACTATTCATTAACAGGGACCATCACTAGTTTGGGAGCAGGATGAGAAAATAACTTTTTCCTGCTGTAATTTTCATTAAAATTTTATTGCTGATTTGATAGGTAAAAGAAGAAAACTACCAGATTTTTCTTAAAAGTTATATGCAAATAGAAATTTTTAAGGCTGTAGAAAACATATTAGAACATAAAAAAGCAATTCACTGACAACATACCCATTTCAAATGAATGATATGCAATGAAAGATAGGTTTGGGTGAAGGGGCGACTTTCTATATATAATCCACACTTTTTATGTCTGAGTGGAAAAGATGCTCACAGTTAGAAAGCAGAAACTCTTTCAATATCGGGACCTTGCAGAAAATACACCACTGGGATAAGTGACAGGTGTTTTTTTTGTTCATCGGAAAGCTTTCTTTCTTCTGTTAAGAACATAGAATAAGCAATAATCCTTCCCTCTTCTTCTTGAATTGCCACTCAGCCTGCTCTGCTCCCCAGGGAACCTATCAAGTTCCTAAGCCTCTCTTAGGAACCACCATGATTTCAACAAATCTTTACTCACATAAAAGACCTAATGCCCCTATACCAGACAGACAGGCTGCAGGACCGCTCTGGCATTTGAAATGACAACATCGGCCCTCTCTGAAGGCGTGACATGATGAATATCCTTCTCTGAGCAACGGCAGAGTACCCTTGAACGCGAACAGGCAAGGTGAACTAGAAGCAGAGTCTGTCTCTCACTGCCTGGCAGGAGAAAGCTGGGTCACTCACACACTTACTTGCCAAAGCCTTTTTTCCAGCTGCATGGTAGGCTACAATGTATTTCTTCCCCTCTCTATCCTCTGTTTTTGTCTCTAATCCTGGAAACAAAGATTTAATAGCTTGATGGATGACGGTTCTTCTCTCTTTGGTGTCTTCAATAACCTATTAAAAACACGGATAGTGATGCCACTAATTTTACAGACATTAAATAGGGAAATGATATAGTCAATTAGTAAGAACACTGCTCATCTTATTAACTATGTGAAATAAAAGAAGTTCTTCGGTGCAATTTCAGAAATATTTCAGAGCTTTGAGAAACTGCGTATCGTATGAGCCTGTTGCTGTTGCTTGAGCACGTCCATCTTCCAGGCACTGCCCCAAGCACTTCACATCCATTGTTTTATTTAATCTTCTCCACCTTCCTACCATACCACCATTATATGTATTTAGAGATGAGGGAAATGAGGCTGAGAGAAGTTACAGAACATGTCTGTTATATAGCTGGAGGGTGATATATCTGGAATTGAAATCCAGGCTATCTGCCTCTGGAGCCACCAATCCTAGATGCTCCCTCTCAGGCCTCTTCTGGACACATATCTCAGGGCTCACACATGAAAATGTAGGAAAGTCAAGCTTTTCGGTATGTCAGAAAGTCGTCCCTCGAACAGTTCAATTGATATCTACTGCATACTGAATTCCATTCTATAATAAATGATTTTATAATGAGGTTCTAGCATACTGGTTCATGATAAAGAAAAATCAACATAAAGAAATGTAAACTTGTTACACAACTTTTGCAGTTTCTGAATGTGTCTCATGTCTCACACTAAGAAATACATTTTACCTCTTTACTCAAAAACCACAGTGTGTGTGTGTGCCTTACTAAAAAAATTCAAAAAATTTCCACAGAACAATACTCATGCTTACCATGTGCAATGCACGGATATTTTCTATTTTCATTTTTAAAAAAATGCTGGTTGAGACCCACTAAATTGATTTCATGACTCACTAATGGGTTGCAACCTGCAAGCTGAAAACATTGAGATATACTCCAACTGCTACGGGCTAAACTTGACAATATTTTAACAAAATATAAAAGAAAACAAACTACACTGTAATTATAGATAAGTGATTTCTTCATATCAAAAAGTGAGTCTAGATCTAGAATTACTGAAACAGTGAGTTGAAATCATGTTTGTGGGTACGAATATATATTTAGACCTCAAAAATTCAGAAAGTCATTCCTCCTCATTTTACAGATGAGGAAATTTGCCCATAACTTATGCCCTTTAAGGGTAAAAACCTTCAGTATGGCTTAATCATAGTTTTTAAGATAATAGTTAATTTTGCCAAGTGTGTAGGAAAATACATATCACAGGGCTAGGATAGACCACCACACTGCACAAGCAAGAGAAAACTGGACCATCCTCCTGGATTGCTCTCAAAACCTATTCCCTATCTTGTGGTCTAAGACTCTTAAAATCTTGTAACATATTTGACTTGCCACAGATACCACCTAGAGCTGCTCTGCCCAATACAGTAGCCACTAGCCACATGTGCCAACCCAAAACTTGAAAAGTGGCTAGAGTTTGAATTGAGACGTACTATCAGTGTAAAATAACAATGGATTTTGTAGACTGCACAGGAAGAAAAAGAATGTCATTAAGATATTAAGATATCTCCTTAATAATTTAAAAAATATTGAATATATGGTGAAATAATAGTTTGATCGTATTAGGATAAGTAAAATATACTGTTACAATTAATTTTACCTTTCTCTTTACTTTTTAAAATACGGCAACTAGAAAATTGAAAATTAAACATATGGCTTGCATTATAATTTCACTGGATAGCACTAATCTAGAAGAATAAAATTTCCATAACATAAAGCACTAAAGTGGCATTTACTATTCTAGCAGCTGAGATCTCCTTTTCTCAAATAGTAGAGAAGACCTAGGTTGAGCATTCTCCCTTATCTCTGTCCCCCAGTTCCTCCCCCTCCCAGTGCCCCATTTGGGACCAAGAAGCTGTTAGAACCAGAGCCTCCTGATCAGGACCACACATCTGATTGTCAGGCAGCAGTGATCCTGTTACAGTAGACACTACATATACAACTGTCACTCTATAGTTCTAAACCACAGATTTCTTTGTTGATCTGTGGTCATTAAAATTTTTTAAACAAAAACATAACTTTTTTTTTTTGTTATAGTTTATCTGGCTACTGGTTATTTGCCCCTGGTAAAAACGTTTTTATCAAGGGTTCAGATCCCATACCGACCAGATGCCAAAAACAAAACAAAAAACTTTTAGTGTAATGCGCTTTTAAATCAAATAGGGCAAGGTCACCCTTTTGTTAATCACCGTAATTTTTCCAATGAACATTTATTAACATTCACCCAGAAAGAAGGAACCAAAACTCTAAAAAAGCACTAGCTAGTCAGCTCAGTTGGTTAGAACATGGTGCTGATAACATCAAGTTCCAGAAAGAGTTCAAAACTCTAAAAAACCTTTTCACATATGTTTGCACTATTTACCTCGATGGCAACACTAGTTTCCTTATTTTTAAAAAGCTGGAGCTCTTCCAATTGCTGCTTTTCTTCAGCTGTCAAAACCGTAAATGCATCTTCAGAAGGGTCCTTTGAAATAACCACGAGAACTCACAGTGAGTCATACACAGAACTCAAGGCTATTAAAGCTCTGTACCTCTATGATTTCTAGGAAATGTTATTTTTATACAGAAGGTAACTTTTGCTAGAGAGCTACTTCTACCTCCTCATCCACTGGAACAGACAAGTCATCCAAATGGCTGATCTGTCCATCTTTTCCTATTTCATGAACAACGAAGTCAGAGTATCTGATGAAAAGAAAACAAGAACTTTCAGAGAATTAACACTTTGTTTCCTATTGATTGCAGGATAAAGATTATCAACAGTAAGTTTTTCTATGATGCAAAACAAGGCATTAAAAAAAATCTTAGGTGAAAAGTCATATGGAATTATTTTTTCTGGTTTCTTAATAAATGCTGAGCCACACCATGGCTCAGATTTTATACCAGATCTTAAAGAAAAGACCCTTTGAGCTTCTAGAAATTATTCCAGAGAAGTGCATAAACAAAAGCTTATTAACATTACCTTATGATGATTATACAGTGCATACTTAATTACATCATAAAATATAGAAAATTATTAACTAACTCAGAACACAGTAAGTCTATCACGAACTACCTTAAAACTTACCTTTACATTACATACTTAATACACATTATTTAAAATCCTCTCAACAACCTCAATGTGGTGTTATGATCCATTTTTTCAGATGAGGATGCTGAGGTTCGAAGGAGTTAAGTAACTATTAAGTGGCTGAACTGGATTCACACCCAGATCTATTTGGCTCCAAAGACCACCTTCTACTGTAGATGTGGCACATTTGCATCAAAGAGTTTAAGATTATAAGACAAATTTAGGAGAAAATTGAAACCGTTAAAAAAAAAAAGTATCTTAATGAAATGACCAGCATCCATCTACATATTAATGATGCATGCCACCAGAAAATTATTCTTACTTACTCAAACAGTTCTGGGAAGAATCTTCCCTTGATAAGTACTGACCATGCTTTCTATTATTATAAAATATTAAAAAATTCAAGGCCATTTACTCATTTAGGCAGCTTTCCTTCGTCTTATTCCTTTTTGATCATCAGTGTAAACAATCCTTGAGGATAAAAGCTAAATGAAAGAATATATTGCTGATTTCTTTCTAATGAAAAAAACTAATACGACTAAAATAACTTTATTTATAAACTAAACATACCTTTCTTTTAAGATTCCTGAGAATCCTTGATGAGAACTTACAAACTTGGTAATGCCTACATCAACTTCAGTGAGTCCATGCTTCATCATGTCTGCAAAACTCTCTGCTTCTTCCTCCTCCTCCTCCTCCTCCTCTGAAAGGCCGTCTTCCTCCTCCTCCTCCTCCTCCTCTTCTCCTCCCAACTGAGCATCAGAATTCTCTTTACCTTTCCGGGCACTTACAGCTTCGGGCAGCCCAAGCACGTTTTCAATGCTGGGTAGAGAGTCATTCTCTAGCCTGTCCTGACCTTGGGTCAGACAACATACAGAGACCTTCTGTCTTTTTGTCTCCTCAGCTGGGGCTCCGTTATCATTATCTTCAACAACGAGGGACCCACGTTTCAGCGACACACCAGTCATTCCTGTCATCTCCATCTTTAAGTCTCCAACAAAACATTTAAGAGAGCCTTTTAGGAAGGAGGAAAGAGTAGGAAGTAACAATTACCTTTAAAGAAGTCAGTTTCAGCAAACAGAGGCATAGTTAACTTTGTTCATAGGGTCCTAAAAATCATTTATTGCAATAATCCTTCCTGATGTTGGTATATACTGTGGGACAGAAAACAAGCACAACACTTCTGCATAGAATTTGAAGTGTGCATCAAAAGCTTTAAAAATATGTATGTTCTTCGACCCAGAAATACAACTTCTAGGAATTTATCTTAAGAAAATAATTAAAGTGCTTAAAGTTTTAGCTGTAATGATACTCATCTCAGTGCTATTTTACATTAGCAAAAAATTCAGAAAAATGAAGTCTGGGTCGTAAACTGAACAATATGTAGAAACGACTGTCTAGAAACTGGAAAAGGTGGTTACTTCTAGGAAAGGATTTAGGTAGCTGGGGACAGAAGCAGGACACTTGCTGTTTTCACTGAACACCATAGTTGTATCACTTGAATTTTGTTTCATGTACAAGTGTGAGGTATCCTTTCAAAAAACTGATTAAAACTGACATCCAAGCACATTCATACCAAACCACATTAAAAAACAACATCAACAACAAGGGGGATGGGGAGTTGTATAACGGTTATAGAGTTTTAGTTTTGCAAGATGAAAAGAGTTCTGGACAGTGATTGCATAACAACATGAATATACTTAACACTACTGAACTGCACACTTAAAAGAGGTTGAGATGGTAAATTTTGTTATATAAATTTTACCACAATTAAAAAACAAATAACAAAAAAACCCAAATTATCATTTAACTGGCCCATACACAATGTACTGAGCCAAAGTCTAAGAAGCCTCACATGCTTTCCCAGTACAGAGCAGAGAGGGGTAAACAGGGGGCAATCAAAATAAATACAAGCATCCAGGACCACAAGTGCCTATCTCATTTGATCTTATTTGATGCTCTTGTTAAAATAAGGATAACAATATTAATTATGTAGGAGATGCTAAAGTTAACATACTAATGAACTTCGTAAACATATTCATAAAGAATGTCTAAGTGAGCAGAAAATGAATATTCTAGTTCTTCAGGGTATGGTTAACAAGAAATCCATCTACAGAAGCATCTACAACAAAATAATAACAGTGGTGAACTGAAATTTAAGATATCTTGCCTCACTGTCAAAAATCAAGAAGAAAAAGGAGAGAAAAAGACGAATAGTAAAAAGTAAAAGCAAAAATGGATTGTGACAGCCATAAAAAAAATCAGAGAGTAGGTATAGAAAAATATCAGTAAAAACAATTTCCTTTGACTAAGGTCAAGGGTTCAGATCTCTGCACCTGCCAGCCGCCAAGAAAAAGAAAGAAAAAAAAAATTCCTTTGAAAGACAAAAAGTTAATTAAAGAAAATGGAAGAAACCAAGAAACCAGAACAGAAGTACACCACGAGTAGCTATATAAAAGTATTTCTAATTCAAATAAGAAAGCATTTATTCTTTGTTCTGAGCAAGGTGTAGTTTTTTTTTTTTTTTCTTTTTTGTCTTTTTTCGTGTCCGGCAACAGATTGCAACCCTCAGTGTCGCGCCTGTACCGGACCGGGACCGGCAACGGGATCGCAACCCTCGGTGTTGCTCCCGCACCTCGCTCAGCCAGTGAGCGGGAACCGGTCTGTATGTGGGATCCGAACCCTCGGCGGGAGCACCACTGCGCTCCCAAGCAGCGCAGTGTAGCAGTGCGCCACCGGGCCGGCCCGCAAGGTGTAGTTTTTTTAAAAAAAGAAAAAAAGCTGGTTTATGAAATGTTGATTCTATTTCATTCTCACTTACTACAACAAAGGTGCCCTCACAGAGCTTTCATACAGGTGGAGGAGACAGAAAGGGACCAGGGCTTACACAGAAAATATGGGAACACACAGGAGACATCCGAGGGGGTGAGGGGAGAGTGTCAGAGAAAACCTAAGGGAACACCTGAGCCAATTTTTGAGGACTGCGAAGAGTAAGGTGGTGGAAAAGGGGGAGCAGGGTGTTGGGGTACAGGGTGTAGCATGAGCAAAGGCATGGCTGCACAGGAGAGCACAGAGCGCTGGAAGAACCCCAAGGAGCGCGTCACTTGTTGAGGAGGGAAAGATACAAGGAGAGTATGGAGAAAAAGCTAGGGAGAAAAAGCCGGCGGAAGTCACACCAGGCAAAATAGAGGGAATGACATCCTGAAAACCAAATACTACTGGGTTCACGAGTTAAAAAGATTTCATGGCACCCATGTGAAGAAAAGGCTGAAGCAAAGGGGACAGGACAGAGAGAACATTCAGAACATTTAGGAACTGGTAGGGACAGGACTGGGCGACAAAAGCGGAGGAAAGAGGAAATACTCCAGGATGACTCGGGTTTCCTGCCGTGGGGACCTGAGACAACAGAGTAGCTCTTCCTGATATGGGACTCCAGGAAGAAGAGCTGGTGGTGGAGAAGACAAGCCCACCTATAGACTTGTGGTGTAGATACCCTGGGGATATCCAAGTGGAGATGTCCTGTGGGCAGTCATCATATCGTGCCACACACCGTTACCCAGAAACCTGCAATGGCTCCCCAATGACAGTTCAAAGTCCCTGCTGCCATCACAGGATCTATCAGAAGATCCTGATATTCCAGAAGCCAGAATTCTCAGCAGGGAGGAAAGCACAGCCAATAACAATCATGCACACAGCTTGGCTCAGGGACTTTATGGTCAGGAGAATGTCCACCTCCTTCCCCTTATGCAGAGAAAACATCAGGTCCCCTCCTCAGCAACCATGGAGTCAGATCTAGGTTTTGCCATTTACTAAGTAGGTAACAGCCTCTCTGAGCCTCAGTTTCTTTCTCTGTAAAACTGAAATATCATGACTTGGTCAAAGGTCTGTAATAGCTCCTCCTATCAATGGGTGGTCATTAATATTTATTATGGATGGTTTACACAGCAGAACTGTATTGCTGAATCTGGGAAGTTAAAAAAAAAAGCTACTTATGCTTCCTTTGTTTTCTGGGTTTTCTCCTTCAAATACCATTTAATTTTAAGAGAACCTCAAACACTGCTGACGGCAGACAAATAAACAGGACTTTGGTAGTTGGTTGTCTTTTTCTTGATATTTGTGGACTCTTTTCTGATCTCTTTTTCTTGATATATCTAATTGCAAAGACAAACTCATTAATCTCACTTTTGTATTTCAAATGAAATTATATTTTTCATTTGTTTAAGTCAATAGCCCTATCATAAGCGCATTATTAAAGTATATATATAGCACCAATGATTTAAAATCATTTAGTATATATTTTGCTAAGTTCTGTCCTGTATGCCTAAAAGCTGAGAGTAGAATAGCTGTACAAACTTCTGGACTAGGAGAGGCACAACTCAAATTAGTGTTGTTTTTATAAGCAGGAAAGGGAAGACTGAAATGGAGTGTAATTTTAAAATTGGGGGTGGGGGAGGAGACAGAAGCCCAAAAGAATTTAACGAGAAAGATAAAATAACCTGGACTTCCCTAAGGTGAGAGGCCTAAGGATTTTAGGAAAATCCAAAGATTCTACCTCGGAGATGTAAAGTGACTAGCTGAAGAAAACAGTGGGGGTGGGTAGGTGTTAGCTACCCAGAAATGTTATGCTGCACAAATACTCTGTTATCTTAATTGTCAAGTAAGATCTCTATAGACCAGAAGCCTGAGTCTACTACAAGGAAAAGAATAAACTCCACTGATACTTTCCCACGAACTTAAAGTCTACATATTTCTTTGGAGGAAATGCTAAAATAATGGTTTTTGTTTCCTCTGCACTCCAAACGAGAATAGAAATATTATAATTTTAACAGCATTTTGAAATCTTTTTCATTAAAATATTAGATTCACCAACTCAGCTTTTAAAATCCTCTATACCCACAACAAAAATAAAGTTTAGCACTTTCAAAATTTTAATACAACATGGACAATAGTCCCTTAAAATTATTTCCTCCAAAATGAACATCTGTAAAAGTGCCATATTAGTTTTAATCCTATAATATTCCAAAACCTTCTACAACTTCCACTTTTTAAGTGCATCTATCCTCCATCCTCTGCAAACTGTCAGTAATCCCCCTAGCTCTCACAATAATGAGCACTTTTCTTAGGGCAGAGAACACACCACATTCTAATATGCAAAATCTATCAGAATTGCTCATGCCATAAATATCAAGCATGTCCTATGTGTAGGCACTAGGGGAAAGGGGGAAATTTCCTGCCCTGATGGAGCTTACATTTTATTTGAGCCTACATTTTATCTGACAAAAAAAAAAAAAAAAATCTCAGAACACACAAGCTACAAAGAAATAAAGCAGAGTAAGGGGGCTAAGAGTAAGAGAGGTGTTCTTTAACGAAGCCTCTCTAAGGTGGTGACTTTTGAGCAAAGACTTGAAGGAAGAATTAGACATGAAAAGACGTGTGTGAGGAGCGTTTCAACAGCCTGAACAGTACGTGTAAAGGACTTGATGCAAGAGCAAACTTAAGTCAACCATAAGATTAGTTGGATTATTTCTCTCTCCTACTTGGAGGCAAAAGTTTCATTATCCCCCAGCCTCAACCAAAAGACATGTTCAAAAGGAGTGGTTATACTGGATATATATACAAAGGAATGGAAATCATCATGTCAAAGGGATACCTGCACTCTCATGTTCATAGCAGCACTATTTACAATAGCCAAAATATGGAAGCAAACTAAGTGTCCTTCGAAGGATGACTGGATAAAGAAAATGTAGCACACAACGGAGTACTACTCAGCCATAAAAAAGAATGAAATTCTGCTATTTGCAGCAACACGGATGAGTCTGGAGAAAATTATGTTAAGTGAAATAAGCCAAACTAGGAAAGAGAAATAACACGTTCTCACTTATAACTGCGTGCTGAGAAAGAGAGAGAGGGAGAGAGAAAGAAAGAGAAAGAAAGGAAGAAAGAAAAGACCATAACAATTCCTTGAACTTTCAGAGGGAGAGAACAAACCTAAGGTTACTAGAGATAG